GGCCTTATCTTTTTCATACTCTGTTATTTTTATGATTGGTAGGGAACTATCAATTCTTATATTTGAACTAAAATCATTATCAATTCTGTTGAGGTCTTGATAATATCCGGTTGTTGATACTAGCATACCCTGATAATAATCAATGTTTGAAGTTATATCATCGAGTAAGTTGGAGGTCTCAGCTATACACCTATGCGAACCTGTGAAATCTAAATCGTCATTGCCATTGTCATTATTTCGGAGCCATTGCTCCCCGACATCGTCATAATTTCCATATTGGAACATTAAATCATTGGCTGCGCTTGACCCACCCAATCCAGCACCACCTGAAAGCAAATAAATTTTCCATTTATTCGTATCATAATTCCCACTATAGTCTCTAGGTAAAGTTATTTGATTTGTATTAAGCACTGTGCATTTCATATTGGTCCCTGCTATGATTTCAGTGCCTGATGTGATGTATTGATTAGCAGATATATAACTTGTCGTTGAAATAACAGAATTGCCAGCGATAGGGCCATAAAAATTTATATACCGTCCGCTAGAATAATAGTTTAAGTATAAAGTTTTATTAGTGCCACAATCAATATACAAATCTCCAGTATTGACAAGGATTTGAGCACGTTCAGCAGTTCTAGAATCAGTCCCAGCCCCAATCGATAGGTAACCTCCTAATGATGAAGGACCGAATAATATTTTTGAATTGTTTGCATTGCTAATGGTTGCATCTCCATTTGTAATAGATAAGCCGCTATTGATACTGAATGTCTGTCCAGCAGGGAGGGATATTCCTCCCGCTGTCGTAGCATAATTTGCTGTCGTTGCTGTCGTTGCTGTGTTTGCTGTGTTTGCACTTCCTGCTGTTTCAGCATATAATGCAGAAAACCTCTTCCAAGGTTGCCATACATTGTTCCATTTATGCCTAAAATTTATATATGTATAAGGGTTATTGCTTGCGCTGCCTACATTAGCAGGATACGCAATTTGTAAGCCATAAGACGAGTCACCATTATAATTATAACCGCTGCCAATGTTACACACATAAAAAATTCAGTCTCATTCGGATTATTTGGAGGAGAATTTAAGGGGGTGGGACCATTTACATAATGAAATCCAAAATTTGGGAGCCCATTAAAATCTTGATAGTTCGTAGTTGGAAATATGATGCCGCTATTATTGAATAGATAAAAGTTTGGATTTGACACCAAAGCCGGCTTATTTGTTAAATTATTATAATCTCCATTAAAAAGACTAGTGCTAAGAGCAGAATTATTTATATATAAATCAGTACAGTTTATAATACCATTAACATCAAGTTTATAAGCTGTGTTAGTTGTTGTTGTAGCAATGCTTACAGTGCCATCATAACTTATTTTCATTTTTGTGTCTGTAGCAGCTTGGCAATCAACTTGATTATCATTATTTCTAAGCATAAAATACATATCACCAAGTCCATAACTGTTAAAGCTTCTTTGTATAACCCCTATGGCTTGCGATGCATATTGACCTCTATATATAGAGTGATTAAATCCAATAGCACAACGACAATTAGTAGTTGTATTATTTCCATTATCATTTATCAGAAGCATTTTAGGAGCTGTTGAATTTCCTATAATAAATAGAGGTATGCCTGATTGAGGTTGTGTTGTATCTACTGAGCCATTTCCAAGCACCATGCTTGCAGGACATTTTAACCCTGCGTTTGTAATATCTAGCTTTGTGTTTGTAATATTTCTATCAATTCTCACTTGTTCAATCCAACTATCACGAATATTATTGGCCCCATATTTTCCAATAACAAAATCAAGATTAGTGTTGAGGCCAATTCTGAAATCTACACCAGTGCTATTTAGATTTCTAGAAAGTATAATATGACCGTCCGTGTTTGCAACGCTGCTATTTCCGACATGTAGAGGCGCTTGCGGATTTACATTATTTATGCCTACACAAGGGTTAGATACTAAGCTATCATAAGGATTTACAGTCAAAGGATTATAAATATTTGTATTAAGTTTAGATTCTATCCCAAAGAAATTGAGTGCAATGTTAGTAACACCTGTCCCGATTCTATAATCTTGTATGTTTGTGCCAATAGGGTCTAATGAAGATGCCCCGCGTTTGAACTCAAGCCACGGCTGACCTCCTGAGTCATATATTCTTAATACTTTCGAAACTAATAAATCATAATAAGTATTGTTATTAAAGTTTAGCTCACCATCTACAAGCTTAAAACTTGAACTAACAGATGTTATTGTATTACCTGATATAGGAACATCGTTGAATTGTAAATTAGGACCATATATATAAACACCTTGACTATTCCATTTTATCCGTGTTGTATTGTACCAACTAATATATCCCCAGTCTGTACTATTAATCACAACCTTATTTCCCCAAGTTGTATCATTAGAAATAAATATATAATTGTCATTTGTTTGTTTGACACCAAGAACCAAATATTTATCGTGAAATATCTTAGGTAATTGTGCGCCATCATTATCCTTTAATCCTATTTCAATACCATTTGCAGAAATATTCCCTTCAATCTGTAATTTGGAACTATTATTAGGGATTGTGCCTATTCCAACGTTACCGGTATTATAATATATATCATTATTTACTTTTGTCCATTTTGAAGCTAAACCGCCGCTAGTCGCTAATCCCCCAGTGAATGATAGTAAGCCATTGCTTACACTAAAATCTGCTGATACAAGTTTAATATATTCATTTTCTGACAAAAGATAAGGTGACAAAGTGCTTGTCAGACTTGAAGATGTAACATAGCTGCCTAGCGTGCTTGTCAGACCTGAAGATGTAACATAGCTGCCTAGCGTGCTTGTCAGACTTGAAGATGTAACATAGCTGCCTAGCGTGCTTGTAAGATTTGTATTGGTCACATAGCTTGTAAGATTTGTATTGGTCACATAGCCGTCTAGTGTGCTTGTAAGGTTTGTATTGGTCACATAGCTGCCTAGTGTGCTTGTAAGGTTTGTATTGGTCACATAGCTGCCTAGTGTGCTTGTAAGGTTTGTATTGGTCACATAGCTTGTAAGATTTGTATTGGTCACATAGCCGTCTAGTGTGCTTGTAAGGTTTGTATTGGTCACATAGCTGCCTAGTGTGCTTGTAAGGTTTGTATTGGTCACATAGCTGCCTAGTGTGCTTGTAAGGTTTGTATTGGTCACATAGCTGCCTAGTGTGCTGGTTAGACTTGAAGATGTCACATAGCTTCCTAGCGTGCTTGTAAGGTTTGTATTGGTCACATAGCTGTTTGTGAGACTTAATTGTCCAACAGCTGACACATTAAAATCTGATGTAACATCTCTTATATATTGATTATCTGATGTAAATAAATCAGGCTTTCCAGTTATTTGAGTATCATAATCAAATGATGTCGGAATGTCACTTATCAAAGCATTGTTTATAGAATCAAGGTAGGCCGCTGTGTTTATATCTGAATAACCTGTTGGAATAACAATATTATCTATCTTGTTATCTATTTCTTCATTAGTATATGGATTAATTACTTCTTTGATGCTCAATGAACCTACACCATTATACCCGATAATATCTCTTACTTCATTTTGAGTCAATTCTCTATTGAAAAACCTTAAATCTTGATAATATGATTGCAAACTTGGAAAAAAACCTTTTGATGGATAGATGTTTCCAAGTAAAGATTTATTCCAAGTCATACTTTGCAAATATGATTTGGGTATATTTGTTTGAAAAGGAATTCCATTTTGATATAAAATGATACCAGCACCCCCAATTGTTATGGTGTAATGGTCCCACGTATTTAAATTATAGTAAAAATATGATACATTTGTTGTTGAATAATTAACTTCGATAGCAATATTTCCATTAGATATATATAATCTGATGCCATAGGCCCCTCCACTGGTTGAATCTATGCCACTGTTTAAATCGATGATTGTATTACCTATAGTAGGATAACCATCATATCTTTTGATATACAACCAGAAAGAACACGTAAGAAAACCATTATAATCTATTGATGGCAATTTTACAATTGTATTTAAAACATAGTAACAAAACCCAGAGAGCGTGCTTGTCTTTGGAATGGCTGCATGTGAGAAAGACACAGTCAATGAACTGCCTCCAGTGTTATCGCTGAATCTTATTCTTATTGGATAATATTTATATGCTGTATTTAAATATATAGTTCCTGACCGCTCTTGTGTGCCATGAGTTCCACCATTATTAACGACCAATGTCTCTGTACCATCTACAGTCAACCAAAGATAGCTTTCATCGTCACTATTAGTATAAAATGTAAAATTGCCTAAGTATCCAGAAGTATAAAAATAACCTACATATTCAACTGCGAATCTGTCCTCTGAAATATTCCAAGAATTAGAAATACGAAGTGCAACACCAACGGAATTAATAGGGTCATTTCCATAATTAGCATATCCATTATTCCATTTTGTATATGCCAAACCATCAAGATTAAAAGTATCGAGAGAGAGACTTTTTTTATTTGTTTTTACAGTATGAGACGCAAATGAATGACCGCCATAAGCTATTTGTACATCAGGTTTTAGGGATAAAGTATCAGCCAAAGAATCATCAAATTTGTACCAAGCTATATCAGGAATTGGACCAGTATATTCGATACTAGGTTTTAAATAACTAGTACCACTGCTAGAATATTGAAAATTATAAGCATCGGTATTTATTATAACATTATCATAGAGCTTATCTTGAAAATTAAGTGATACAGTTCTATTTGATAACGTTAAATATAAAGCTGTATTTGTTTGATTATATGTCTCTATTTGAATGTGGTCATATATTGACACATCATTTGTTTGATTGACTATGAATTGCGCAGGGTCAAAGTTATAAGAATTTTTTTGAATATCTTGATAAAGCTTATTGCTTGTGTTGTTCAATGTTGTTATATTGATATAATTGCTTGATGCTATCCAATTGTTATAATTGGTAACACTTAGGATATTACTATTAGCTATCCAATTGTTATAATTGGTTGTACTTAGGATATTACTATTAGCTATCCAATTGTTATAATTGGTTGTACTTAGGATATTACTATTAGCTATCCAATTATTATAATTGGTTGTACTTAGGATATTACTATTAGCTATCCAATTATTATAATTGGTTGTACTTAGGATATTACTATTAGCTATCCAATTATTATAATTGGTTGTACTTAGGATATTACTATTAGCTATCCAATTGTTATAATTGGTAACACTTAGGATATTACTATTAGCTATCCAATTATTATAATTGGTTGTACTTAGGATATTGCTATTAGCTATCCAATTATTATAATTGGTAGTACTTAGGATATTGCTTGATGCTATCCAATTATTATAATTGCTTATTTCTAGATAGTCAGGCAATGCCTCGACGACTGATTCTGTCTGTTGTGTTGTCTGATTATATAATAATTTGACATATCCTGTTCTATTTTGCGAATCATACACATCATTAACATTAGTGACTGCCGTTGTACCTCCCAAAGATAAACTTCTCCTACCAACTCCTCCGCTCGTGGTAATACTTGTGGCAACCGTTGATATATCCACATTTTGCACTGATATGTTTTGAGCTACAACCGTTTGCGTGCTCAAATCTATAACGCTAAGATTACCCCTTTTAATATCTATAAAATCAACCTCTAATTTACCGCTAATCTTTGCCGATAAATCGTTGTTAAATATCTGATTGATAGCATCAGAATACTTGTTTTCAGTCCAAAATAGATTTATTGTCTCAAGTGTCCAAGATATATATTTGCTTATTGCTATTAAATCGAGTTTATTTGATTCATTGATAGCCTCTTGACCTGTTGGCCCTTGCTCGTGGTCTATTATTCTAAAATGATGATTATTATTATTGACATTATATAACTCTTTAAAATTTGTTATTTGTGTTGTCCCCTCAATCTTCAATTCAAATTGATTGCGTATTGTATAAAATATGGTTCCATCTTCACGGAGAACAAAGCAATAAAAATTTAGTTCAGCGATGCGACTATTTTGAACACTAAAAACAGGGCCGCCAATATTTGGATAAACATAAGCAAAAGCATTTATATTTATCGTTTTCTTCTCGTAGCTTAAAACATTGTTTGTATTCTTATAATATATCTCAAACACTAAATCAAGAGATATGTTGGTAATATTTAGCGAACCATCTTGAGTTATTTGATAATCTAGATAACAAATAAAACCTCTATTATTTGGTATATTCTCAGTTGTTAAACCAGCCAAATAATAATTGAATAAATTATATTTGCCGCTGTAATATTTGCCATTCATATAATTAGTCTTAGGTCTAAATTGATAATAAAAATAGATAGAGAATTTATTTGTAAAACTAATGTCAAAACATTCGATATAAAAATTGTCTGGGATGGCTGTCATTCTATTTGCAAAAGAATACCTGACCCATTCCCTATCTTGTGCTGGATAGGTTGGCACGGTTTCATATGGAGAACCATTCAAAAAGTCCCAATTGTCATAAGTAATTGTATATGTATCATTCAATTGATTTTTAATATAGTTCGGTGCTATTAGTTGATTGCCTTGTAATTTTAGGAAGATATCGGCTATATATAGACTGTCTGGCCCTGTTACAGTAAGCTTCTTTGTTGTGAATGATTCTCCTATTAGAGCAAATTGATTTGCCATTTGTGTTTGATTAACAAAATTAGAGCTATTTATAAAATTTGTGTAGGTATCCGTTTTCAGGAAATTAGAGCTATTGAGATAATTTGCATAGACATCCGTTTTTAGGAAGTTTGAGCTTGCCAGATTTTGATATGAAAGAAATGTATCCAATCCCTGCTGTTTTGTGTAAAAGTCTGTTGATAATTCCCATTCTTGATTATCATTGAAATATAGATTGCCTATAAACCCCGGTTTGACATCGTTTATAAGTGTGCTTGCTGTATGTTTTGTTCTTATATGATTGTATAATACATTTGACTCTTCATATATTTTGTTGAATAATATATTAGACTCTGTCAATATATGATCAAATAATATATTTGACTCATCGTATATGTGATTATATAATATGTTCGATGTATTATCAATTATATCATCTATCTCATTTTTGTCATAGATATTAGGGACAATAATATCATCAATAAAAAGAGTTTTACCTTTGAATATTGTTTTATATTGCTTTAATGTTTGCAGTGCATAATTGCTACCAAATACAAATTCATTTAATTCATCTTGTGTTAATTCATTGCCTAATGTTATAACTTCTTCACCTTGAAAAACAATATTTCTTTCGTCTAAAACTGTCTGTTCCTGTCCATCAATAACAAGCAATTTATACGTGTCATTATATATAAATGCTTCGTTAGGGACCAAAGCAAGTTTTTCACCATCTGTTAGATTCCTAGAATATATTTTAATGACTCTACCTTGTAATTTAGTATTTATTACCTCATTTTCAAGAACAGAAATAACAACACCTAATGATAATCTTAAAACATTAATCCACGAGAGAATAAACAGGCCATCAGCTTTTGAGGTGTTTGTTCCTGACGCTATCAATCCCCCAATGAAGCCAGTTCCAATTGCTAGCCCTCCTTTTATAATTTCACCTAAACCACTAAATAAATTAAAGCCATTTTCAGCCGTATCGTCCAAATCTTCTAAGGATTGGGCAGCATTTGCGGTTTCTTGCGCGGCAGCATTGTTGTTTAAATCATCTAATTGTTGTTTAATCTGTTGAATTGTAATAAATGAGCCGTTTTCAAGTGTGAATTTAATGATATATTTATTAGGATTAGTCTGATATTTGACATATAATATATTCCTATTGTTGTTTGTTAAAATGGTCTCATTCGTGTTAGAATCATATTTGATAAGAGATTGCAGATCTAGAACAAAATTTGATGTGTTAAACAATATATTGCTTGTTTCAATTAAGTTATTACTAGTAATAAGTAATAAATCATTTGTTTCAATTAAGTTATTGCTAGTTTCAATGGTGATAATTTCTAGATCGTTAGTCTTTTGAAATAGTTCGGTTGTCTGATGATTAAGGACATCAACATTACTATAAAGGACATTGATATTTGAATTTATTTTATTAAAAATAGGCGTTAAAGTTGTGTTATTAGTAGTGCCGACATACTGATATAAATTTTGATATCTATTGTCACATGACATTTATAATAAAGAAAGATAGGTTTTTGGGGCGGATGGAGAGTGTGGAAGGTTGGAGGGTTTGTTAGGTCAATTACTAATAGGCCAAGATCGATCAACTGAGAAGAACTTCTTGAAAAAACCCTCCTAATAGATAATAGATAATAGATAATGGATAATAGATAATAGATAATAGATAATAGATAATAGATAATAGATAATAGATAATAGATAATAGAAAAAAAATAACATTGAATTAGTAAGGAATATTTATAAAAATAAAAAATGCCAATAGAGAGAGGGGAGTGTGGAAGGTTGGAGGGTTTGTTAGGTCAATTACTAATAGGCCAAGATCGATCAACTGAGAAGAACTTCTTGAAAAAACCTTCCACACCCTCCACACCCTCCACCTCTAACGTCTATATATACAGATAAATAATAAATATATATATGATTCTGGTAATGATTTATGAAGTGGAGGGTTTAGTGGAGGGTTTATGATTTATTGAAAAACCCTCCACTCTTCAAAGATTGGCAGGGTTTTGCAAAGGTTTGTAAAAACAACGTGTTTAATATTTTACCCCCTCACCCCACATAGATTTTTTTATTACTTATATGATCCTTGAAGGATTCATAATTTTCATTAATATTATGTTTGCTCTGGCACACTCCGTGTGTGCGCTCGTTTGTTTTTGGTTATTTTGTGTGATAATCCGCACCAATGCGCAGCTATTATTTCAATTGCATAAAATATAATAGGGATTAGGTAAGGAAAATAAAGAGGAATAAATGAATTATTTGGGTGTTCGTAAAAATCATTGAAATTTTAAATTGATTTATAAAAGTTTGTCTCCTCACGTTTCCAATGTATTTACTTGCTAGCCAGTTGGCTCCTTCCGAAATCTCTCCAAGTTGAAGAATGGAGTTCTGTACAAGATAGTCTCAGGAGCTGTCGATGTTGAGAGCGGATCGAAAGAACTTCTCAAAGAAATGAAGGAAGTCGGGTTGGACACAAGTCAAATTGTCAAGCCTTCGGAAATTCATGAGTGTCTTTCAAGCATCCTGGAGTCAGTCAGGGTGAATGGAGACATACGAGACATGATCCAGTGCCTGCGTTTTGATGGGATCCAGACATGTCTGCTTTCGCATACAAGGAAAAGAGAAGGAAGAGACGCAAACATGGTCAAGGATGAGATGGCCGTGCTCAACAAAGAGATGATTCGGCATTTCAATGCTACGTTTCAATATTCCGACCAACAGTTCAAGAAGGAACCTCAAATCTTTCACGAGATATTCAATGTAGTTTGTGTTGACAACTGATGGGCCACTTGTAACTAATTTTCCATTGTGCAGAAATTCTCTTTGCATCCGGAGGAGGTGGTCTTTTTAGACCCACGGAAAGATATGCTTCAACCAGCTGCCAAACTCGGTGTGAAAACGTTGCAGGTAGTGCTCACTGTCCTTTGTTTGGTTGTTTTGAGATTAATCGTTACAGGCTGAGAATGCCAACAAGGCAATCGAGCTTCTTGAGGATGAATTGCAAGTCCCGTTGCGCAACTTTGCTTGGACTCGTGATCAATATGCGAAGGTCTTGTGGGTATCCAACAAAGATTGTAATAGTGCAAGCACATAGAATGAGATATGAACAAGATGGCAAGGAGAGACAAACAAATGGCTGTAGTTTATACGAGATGCGAGCTGAAAGCTAAAACGGGATACCTGAATTCCTAGAATTTCCATCAAGTTCGAAAATGTTATATGCAGTTGTCAAGCTTCGGCAGTTTTGAGGGTTTATGAATCATGATAGTAAAACACTGCAGAAACGCCATAATGATCGGAAATAGTGCCAGGATCTTCATCTGTCTTATTACCTTTCGCTAGAACCTGGTCATGAAAAACGATTTTTCAGCAACACAACAAAAGAAAACAGATGTTATTACCCCCCAAGTCTTGCTGGAAGCTTTGATCTTCTCGACCTGACAGGAGCCGTCTTCGTACTCCCATCTCGGACCTTCCTTCGCAGCTCGGAGGAAGATGTAATCCAAGGACTCGTCAGGACGTTCAGCATTCGACATTGTCACTTCGCGTGCCTGAGAGTCGTGACCCTGTGCATAAGCTTTTTCCGCCAGGATATCTCGAACAGGATTCAAGATTTCGAGCATTTCCTTGTACCTCTCCACGTCATTTCGAGCACAGATATTCATATCTCCTGCTACAATGCAGTTTGTTTCTCCCTCCAACAGCTTATTCGCCAAATATTTCAGTTGAGTTTTTCTTACTTCAACTGCATTTTCTCCACCACTGTAACACTGAAGATGAGTGTCAATAATGACAAGCGGGGGTAAATTGGGGTCCACTTTGACATAGCATTTGAGCGCTCCCTTGGAAGTAAAAATTTCAATCCCAGCAAATGTTCGGTATGAGATGAACTTGTTCTTCTCCTCTTCCAGTGGGAACTTGCTGAGGATCAGCAGGCCCGAGCATTGCGCAAACAGAACATTGGGAGACGAGAAACTGTACAGAAATCCCTCTTTCTTGAGCCTTTCCTTGAGCCAATCTTTAGCGCTCTGCGTTGATAATCCAAAGACAGAGAAAGTGAAAACCTGGCAAAAATTTGTCAACACAGACTAGAAAAAATCCAGGCCACTCTGCAAACCTCTTGGAGTATCAGGATGTCGAACCGACTGGCCTCAGCAGCCATGTCAGCCAGTCTTTGCGAATGGTGCGATGCTCCCGCGATGGGGAGGTACAGGTTTTGTGTGAGCACTTTTACCCGCATCGCGGCAGGAATGGCAAAGATCCTAGGACCTGGGGCCTGGAAGACAAGAAACGACCAGAGCTTGAGCAAGAGAGATGAAGTGAGAGAGAAGGGGCACAAAGACGGTAAGGAGGGACACTACAAGGTAAAGGAAAGTCCAAGGGTTGAAGAGGCAGTGCAACGAACAGAGGAGGAGAGGAGAACCAAGTGGGATGTAAAGGAGATGGGAAGGACGGTTGGAGGATGAGAATACTAGTGGAGAAGGGGGGGGGAGATAAGGGTGAGGTATGGGACACGTGAAGGGGAGAGGAGGGGAGAGGAGCGGGAAGACGCGAAGGGGGCGAAGGGGACGAGAATCGAGAAGAGGAAGGATTGGGAGGTGAAGGGGGTTTGTTTACCTCTTCAGGGTGGGTGGTTTCAAAAAGGTTTATATACTGGGAAAGATAGGGGTACTCAAAAGAGGATCAAGGGGTGATCAGAGAGAGGGGGTGGTCAGTAAAAGCTTGCTCTTCACAATAGACCCAGTTGTTGCAATAACTATGTTTTAAAGACTTTTCCTCTGGTGTGTAGAAGTGTACCAGGATTCACTTAAAATTATTAAACGTTTCGAGATTTGATGATAAAATATTATTACTGGTACAAATATATCAAGGATACATTGTTTTGTGACACATATATAATCTGCTTATATGGTATAAATTGTTTCACTTTCAGAGGCGGGCTTACTATCTTTTTTGTTTGTTTTACACTTCAGACAGCCATGCTTTCGGCCTTTGTCGGTCAGTTTGGCGGGAGCGTGGGAGGGATGGTGATGGAAGAGGCGGCAACAGAGAGGAGAGGAGAGACAACGAGAGAGAGGAGAGGAGATGATACCACGAGGTTGGTGGATGCGAAGGGATTCAGCCGCGCAGTCATGGTGGATGGAGAAGCGAAGGTTGTAAAGAAGTGGGGAGACCGAGGACGACTGAGGACGGAGAATCGAGTTTGGAGGGACAGTGGTTGCGGAAACAACTGGGCAATGGGATACTTTGGTGAAGGCGCAAGGATGAGGACACCGACTGCAACTGAGGAGAATGAAAATGTTTTGGTGAGGCGAGCAATGGAGGTTTTGAGGAGGGAGGGAGAGCGTCTAGATCGTTGTGAAGGCTGCATGGTGTATCACTCGCTTGCAGGAGGCACGGGTGAGTAATCACATGAGAGAGTTCGCAGGGGTGAAACAATTTCAACAGGATCGGGACTTGGGTCCAGGCTCTTAGAGGAAATCCGTGATACCTTCAGCTGCCCTTTACTTTCCGTCTCCGTCCTGCCCTTCTCGGTCGGAGAACTTCCTCTTCAGGTCGAAGTCCCTCCCCCCACTCCCTCCTCCATCATATCGTGACTCTCTCCATCTGTGCTGTGGGTTCTGGAATCATGCTTCTTGCTGTGATGACGACAAATTGGTTGCTGAATGGGGAGCTGCAGTACTACAATAGCACGCTCTGTCTTTCCCGCATCGTAGAAGAGGCTGATGCTTGCCTTCTCTTTTCTAACGACGACATTCTTTCCATCATGTCAAAGCGGCTGGCTAAGAAGATAGGTTTGTCCGCTCTCTGTCCGGTCCAAGAAATCCACCTGAGCATTGTGCCAGGATCTGTTGTACGACCCGGGGATGCAGCAGGAACGCTCGTGAAGACAGAAGATCTCAACATGTATTCCCTCTCGCCTCATTTTCCTGCCAAGTCTGCGATTCTGATCGCAGGCATTTCCAGGTACATAACGACAGCGATTCTTGGACTAATCTTCCCCACGTTGAACTCATCCTCACACGGTCAAACTTGGGTACTTTCAAATGATCTTGTCATGGATGTTGATGACTTAAAGAACAACTGGAGTATCTCAAAAATGGTTGCGGAGATTTCTGCGACTCGAGAGGCAAAGTTTGTTGGTATGCTTATCATGCAAAGGGTTGTCCCTTGAAATGAAAACAGAGTTATGGTCCACCACTGGCTCCTTACAGACTTCGAGCAAGCATCGATCTGATGTGCAAGGAATCTCCTGGACTAAATTGAGCCAGCAACTTTTCACTGAGGTAAGACAGAAGGAGAGCGTGCGAGCAAAGTGACTCTGTGTGCCAGGCTCCGCGTTATCAGCCGGCTCTATCCTCTACGAGTGGTGAAGCCCTCTGTCGGATCAAGACGTGCGCGTGAGACTGTTTGAGTCTGTTGTCTCGCTCTGATGTTCTCTCAAGGTCTCGGCTGATATTTCGAGGAAACGCAGCGATGAGTCAGGCATCTGAGGTGCTTCTTGTTTCCTAGCCCTACCTCGCACTCTCGATTCACTCGTAAGAGTTCCTGTTGACACCGTGCCAACAGATATCGTCGAGCCTCGAGAACGAGCTCTGTCGCAGTGCCGAACAAGTTCCAACCTGTTCTCTCCGCGGAGATGTCCCATGACCCTCGTTGCAGGTCTCGTGGATGAAAGGACCCAAGTCGTTCGTGTACGGCTCTCCTCGCCCAATCTTCAAACACTCGACCAAGAGCCTCACGTGGGCGACCACAAGGTCCTCCCGCACCTTGTGACGTGGACGCTGACGTTTGACAGGTCCTCGTACCTGCCGGCTTTCACCCACATCCTTCACCGCTGTGAAGACATGCTGGAGTCGAGAGCCTATCTTCACTGGTATGTTCGGTGAGTTTCTTCACATTCTGTGCTGTCTCTGATGTGGACAGGTATGGACTGAGGGCAGAAGATATGCAAGAGGCAATCGAGTTGATGAGGAGTTGGTTGTCAGACTCGAGCGAATTCTTCGGTCGTTCACTTCTTTTTAACTAGAATTGTCCAGACTGACTTGACGGCTATCACAGAGATGCGATAAGTCAAAGATCGAAAGTCATCTCAAGGCTTCCTGTCAGCCTTTCGCAAGTCACTCATACGGAAGGAAGATGTGAGAGGCTTGCTTCATGCTCGTGTTCTTGACTGACACTAACACCAGAGCTTCGTTTCTTTAAAAGTACAAGCAGCATCTGCGAGCATTCGTCCTTGCCTGTTAGAATCCATGTCCTCGATAGCCCTGGTGGCTCGGGTATCCTCGGCCCTGCGGCTCAGGCTGGAAGTATCCGATCTGCCTTGCAGGCCTGCACATTTACTGTCAGCGTTCCTTGCTCGCTTGTGCTTCATAGCCTACCTGGCCTGAGGGGCCTGAGGGGCCTGAGGGGCACTGATCATACCATGCCTGCCATGTCCATGCATGTAGCCGTGGGACCGCATCGCTCGGTGGAACTCCTGGTCGAACTGCTCCTCTTGTCCGTCCTCGATGCCGAACGTGTTGTCTGTTGTCTCCTCCTCCCCGGACTGGAGGTCTCGAGACTTCTCAACTCTTCGCGCGCGATCTCCGAGGCGCCTCTCGAGCATGATCCTCTCTCTGCCGCTTCCATCCCTCACCTGCCCCCCCCAGTCATCTACTCTCTTCCTCTGTCACACATCATCACCTGGCTCTGGACCTCTGCAACGCCTCCTGGGCCCATCCTTGCTGTCGTCGAAGACTGATGAACAGTACGCCCGTTGGAGGAAAAGGAAGACGACTGGAAGACCATGGACGACCCTCCTCCCATTCCACCACCGCTCATCATCATCTGGTTCATAGATGGAAAGCCTCCCATTGTCATCTGCATTCCTCCGAAGTTGTCGAAGCTACCGCCCACCAAACCCTATCCAACTTCATCAGATCACCACCACCAACATCACCACCATCATAATAATGGATAATGTCACTACAACTATCACCACTATTTGCAATCATCATCATCATCATCATCATCATCATCACTTTACCCCTCTGCCCGGGAATCCTCCAAAGGGGTCTCTGAAGAAGGGGTCGTCTTCGAACGGATCATGCTGCCTCGCGAGATCAGTGGAAGGAACAACCGCAGGACAGTAACCAACCCCCATCATCTCCCGGATCATATTCCTGCCCATCATTTTTCCTAAAGAAAAGTCGTCATGGACTGGAAGGATCAGATTTTATCTTGGCAATGTCAACACGAACGCCATTGCTGAGTAGACTTTCTCTCTCTCCTCTAGGAATTAAAAGAACACGTTGCACTCCATATCTCATGTCTAAGTCCAAGGACTTCAACTACTGTGAAATGCGAATAAATGGTGAAGTGAAAGTGCTTTGCACGACAACATGTTAAGAAAGGTTTTGCATTTTTTGGTTACTCGTGCTCTCCCTTTCTGCTGAGCTCAACCAGTGATTCCGTTCCAAAATTACTGTCCTGTCGTGTACCGTACCACACCTCCTTGTTACGGCACCATCAAGTTATGCTGAACCATGGCAGCTCATCGCTAGTCTGCTCTATCATTGCATGCAATTTTCATCATCTTTTCCTTCGGCATCGTTCGCTCTCCCTCCCTCTACCTTCGACTGCCTGCCGCTCTCTCTTTCCCTCCTGCATTTGTTCCAGTCCACCAGCGATGTTCCACCCCCACCCTCTCAAGTTCATCTCTGCTCAAGGACCCCACATCTTGGTCTACCCCACTTTCCCCTGTCATACACCCCTTATTCTTAGGCCAACCAACCCTATTCCTAGCCCACCCCACCCCACCCTTGCATACAAGTTCGAGAGAATTTTCGAGCGCTTGACTAATAAACTGACGTAACTGTTGATTCGTAACGGCTGGTTTGGACAATGTTCCGGGAGTCCGGCGACCTCGTCAAGTTCCCGGCGAAGTTCAACGGTTCACGGCCCGGCCGGCGTCACGTTCCGAGAGCAATCAAGTTACGAGGACGGTTCAACCGTTGAACGGTTCCCTGGCATCCGAGTCACTGACGGCTGAGTCGGTCGTGACCGTGACTGGCCGTGTCCGGCGGACTCGCTTGGCTACAACACGGAAGACTAACTGATGATGATGTGTAGTTGAAGCACTAGTAAACAGTGCCGGGCTTCCGGGAGGCTTCTAGTAGCCTCCGCCTAGGCTTTCCGAAGTTCAAGTTTCTTCTTGCATCCTCTCATCGTCTTTCCGGGTCGGAGCTCCCGCGCTCTGCATCGACTGATTCTGCAGTCTGAGGAAGAGGATGGCGCTCTGCTCGAGAGGACGAAATGTGAGCAGGCGAGATGATAGCGAGGTCACGTTACCGCGTTGAAGCACTGAGACAGGATCTCGCGCTTGGATGGCCTTCCGTCTCGCCTCCCCTCCCTTCTTGGCTTGTTCCCAGCATCCGCAGCACTCCTGGCCCTCAGCTCAGCCCCTCGTTCTCCTCCCGCAGGGTTTGGCGAATATTCGTGATCGTAGAGAGGAACCACGTCAGTGAGGACTGGATCTCTCCTCCACCCCGACGACCTGTTGCTGCCATACGTCAGGTTTGACCCACGTGATCCCCGTCCTTCTACTCCATATCTCCGTGACAAGGAAGCATTCGCTGATTCCAAGGAGGAGGAGGAGGAGGAGGAGGAGGAGGAGGAGGAGGATATGTTCTGCCGCTCCCCCCAAAGAATCTTGTTGAGCATCTTTGTGCTGCTCTGTCCCACATCTCTCAGCCAGAAGCCAGAGGAGGAGGAGCCGTCTGCTGCCCGTATCAGCCTCCTGCTGGAGGTGACATTCCCTAGAAGAACAGTGCCCTTCCAAGTCGCGTCCTTGAGGTCTGCGATGTAGGACTGCAGAGATGTGGAGTCAGAGCGGTAGAGCGAGCAAGAGGAGGAGGAGGAGACGGCAGGCAGGAGATCAGCACCTACCGGCGATTGAAAGGGAAAACCCAAGAGACTTGAGGCATTCCAGCTGCCCCTAGGAAGGTATGAGGTCCTTCGGGAGCTGTTCCACTTCAGTCGCATGCTCAGATTCTGATTCATGGCCTGTAGAGGACTCAAAACATGCTTCGATGCTCGCCGGACGCTCTGCAGGCGCTCAGAGCGTCTCCTCTGACGTTCGGACGAGGCCCATCGAGACAGGCGAGCTTCGTTCTCCACCTTCATGCGGACAAGCTCTAGTTTGCTCCCCAGCTTCATGGAACTCGCTTCACGCTGCTTCTGCTCGTACTTGCGCAACTCCTCCAGCTCGTCCTCGTCCGCGTTCCCTACCAGAGCGTTGATCTCCTGCTCCACCCTCATGGTTGAAGGAGGACGGACGACAACGATTCCCTCCGCTTCTATCACTCCCTTGCGGATGATGAGGTTGCTCAGGTGAAAGTCAGGACCCAGGTCTGCTCCGGACTTAGCCAGCGGCATGAAGGGAACAAAAACTTCCGAGTTGAAGAGACCCTTGGTGACGAGCTCAGGCTGCTTCACGATGATGACTCTCCCTCCCTCCTCTAGCTCCAGCCCGAGTCTGATGGAGAGAGGGAGCCGCGTTCCGTTTCTAGAGCTGTCGAAGACCAGGGCAGCACTGACTCGCAGCGTCCCGTCCTGGTTCAGTTCGATGTGGTTGAGCTCGACGTCTGTCGTGTTGAAGCTGTCCTCCTTCCCGTATCTTCCTCCTATCGTCTTTCGCGCACCGGCCGAGAGCCCAAACCTGACGAGGAAGACGAGGAGGTCCTTGAGGACGCCAACAACGGGAGGAGACGAGTTGACGTCTGTCTCTGTCATCTTGCACACCAGAGAGACCGCAAAGGGCTCAGCGATGGTGAGTCCTGATCCTTCGATGCCCTGTCCTGATGCTGAGCTCTGGTTGTCAGGCACGAAGCGGATCGAGTCCGTGTAGATCCCCACGTCCCCTGAGATGCTGACGTCCAGTAGTCGCACGTAGGACGCGGTGATCGAGATCCCCGTGATTTCTCCTCGCAGGAGCGCCAGGGACGAGTCTGCATCCACTCTGACCTCAAGCCCCCGCACGTCATCGCACACTCGGTACAAGACTTGCTCGACAATCCAGGAGGTAACGCGCGCCACGAATGGGCGTCGGAGGGGCTGCAAGGCTGGGGTGACGAATCGCAGCAATAGCGTGCTGAAAGGGCCTCTCAAAAGGAAGACGGAAAGGTTGATCATGTTGCGAAGAAAGCTTATGAAGAGCTTTATCCATGACCAGAGCACTTTCGACTCCTTTCCCGTGACAAAATCCTCGGTGTTGGACACAGGCGTTCCTGCCGAGGATATGTTCAAACGAGTCCAGGAGAATTCCGGCCTGTCCGGCCTGTCTTCTCCTTTGCACATTCTTGAACAGACTCTTCTGCGACAGGCAGACCATGTCGCATGACATCTGAAGCGAGGAAGAGCAAGTTCAAGAGGAGGTTGAATCACGAAGAAGGAAGCCGATGGTAGACTGAGGAGGAAGAGGAGAGCATGCTGGTGAGAAAGCATCCCATATGAACTCTTGGTTCAGACCGGAGAGGAACATCGCATGGTCTACACCCTCATCTTCTCCCTACCTCCTGCTAGTCATTCTCTGCCACGGCATACGACCGCAGCATGGGAGCAAGGGAGCATAGCGCAAGGGGGGTATAAAAGGGGGTGGGGTATTTCTGAGCTTTGGAGGACCGGTGGCTTCAACTTGAATTGCTGAACTATCTCCAGCCTCCGAGGCTCCGAGTCACTAGTAATAGGCTGAGTCACAAGGCCGGTCACCGGACTCGGGGGGGGGCGCCGGGCCGCCGGGCCGACTCAGCCGCCAGTGACTCAGTAAGCCCGGAGTCCGAGTCTCGGAGTCCGATCTGGGGCCTGCCGTCATCGTCGGACGGTCCGACTGCCGCAAGTCCGATCGTCGCCGGCATACTGAGCCTTTTCGAACTTCGAAAGTTCGTGGTACTGCTAGTGACTGTCCGAGAACTTTCAGTTTTGACAGGCGTCGAACAATGCAGCAGTGCGTCACAGCGTTGAAACAGTGCAGGACTCCGGGAGGAGGAGACACGAGCCTGAACAGTGTGTCCGAGGACTCAGGAATGACCGCCGACTCATTGAGGCTCGGATGTTATATTACAAGTTGCATCAGACTGAACGTCTGAGCATCGGTACGCGGGTTCCGGCAATAGGAGCAGCGTAAGGAACGACGTCTCCTCGAGTCCCTGCAAGCTCACGAGATATTGCGAGACCAACGGGGTCACAACAGAAGCATCCGCTGAGGAGGGAGAGGACAAGCTGTTGCAGCACCAGGCACCCGTTCAAGACGACCACCACGTAGAAGAGCGCGCTCGAGAAGTAACATACTTGCGAGTAGTTCGTTGGAAGTGTAGTTTGATTTTGACCATCTGCAGAAGGAGTCAGAGGTGTCAACACAGCGGCAGCTCCTTTGTTATCACCGCAAACGATTTGTCGTGAATACAAAGTCATCGAGGCGCCTATTGCGCAGATCGCCATCCCAATCAAGCTCATGAACATCACTGACATCACTCCTCCCCTGCTTCCTCTCGTCCCCGCGTAGAGTCCGATTGCGCCAAAAGTGATTGGAAAGAGCGCGGGCATGGAGCTCCAGGCTGCTAGGACATTCACAAACGTGTTCAAGAGGTGATGGGATATGGTGCATCCGGTCACTGTGTAGATCTTGCAGGTATCGTCCAGCGGCAACGTGATGAGAACAACGCTTACAATGAAGAGCACGGTCGCCAACACAATCCCCAACACGCACATGAGCATGAAGGGACGGTAGACAAACCACACGTTCCCCGATCCAGGCATCGCGCTTGGTAGAAAACTTTCTCCTGTGGATTCGAAGAGCGAGCAAAGGATCCTCTCACGTTTTGATCTTTCTGATTGGTTCGGCCTAAAAGTTCAAGGAATGTGTTACACAGACGAAAAAGCAAAGAAGGAATAATCATCTCTCTTCCATAATTTCTAATGACAAGGATTGTTTCCCTCTTTCATCTCTTTCCCCATTGTTTCACTTCTTCACTACACCGCGCGCTATCTCTCCCCCTGCGCCGGGCGCAGTCAACTTCAGGCCGGAAGCTACCCCATCACGTTTCTCTCACTTGGCATTGCTCTGTCTTCTCTTGGGCTCCTCCTCTCCCCTCTCCTCCCTCCTATCCTTTCCCTCGACGTTGGACTTTTCCATCTTCCCCCCCCCCCCCATGCTCCCCCGCCACCCTCACCCCGCCTCCATCTCCGTTGCTCATGTTTGTCCGTCATCCAGCATTGTGGCTGGTCTGTCATTTGACAGGGTGGAAAGATAGGGTGGGTTATAACCAACCAGGGGTATGTTCAAAAGTTGTCCTCATAAGTACCCCCTCCCAGCATATGGCTTCTCAGGGTAGACTTGAAGTTCAGTAGGACCGGGTGGTGGAATCGCCTCAGTCAACCTTCAACTCCAAGAGGGTACTATTAGTTCTCGCCGACACTGAGGGAGGGGTAGTGCTGTAGGCCCGTTGCATCTCATAGGTAACGGTATTGATGACGCCGGCACCGTGCCAGTGCCGCACTGCCGGGCAGTGCTCCTGACACTGTCGCACTGGCCAAACGGCGAGTCTCGAAGAGACTGAGTGACTTCCGGCGAAAAGACAGCGAGACTCCAAAAGGCCGCCGAAGGAATGAGACGCATACCGGAATGCATCCACGATGATCGGATGGCGCGGCGAAGGACAGGGCCGGGAGGCCTTGAGCCGCTGGGCCGACTCATGCGTTTGCAGCGCGGGCCGCCTGGCACTGCGGCCGCCCGGCCGGCGGCCGCGGCGGCCGCCGGATTGACGCCGAGGTAGTCAACGGCGACTCGAATCCGCGCCCGGGCCGAGCAGCCTCCAATTGGCAGGCTGGCAGGCTGGCAGGCTGGCCCTGAGGCTGGCAGGCTGGCAAGTTAAGCGGGCCCGGCGCACTCAGTGTAGTACGGTGTACTCCGTACGGGGTCGGATCGTACCGTATCGGTACTACAGCCTGAGACTTAGGCTGCAAAACTTCACGCGGCGACTCGTGTGTCGGCTCTCTCGGGCCGGCCGGGCTCAGGGCCGGGGCCGGGCCAACCGGGGGCCGGCGGGTGGCACTGTACGGTGACAAACACTGTGACTGCACTGCAAGGCTTGTACGGACGGTCGGACGGTCAGCGGCGCTGAGCCCGGCTCAGCGGAATGAGGGGGATGAGGGAGATGAGTGGCGGGAAAAGCAAGGGAATGTAAAACATGAAGCGTTAGGGAGAGAGAGCGGGAAAGAGACGAGTAGAAAGATGCAGAGTAGCAGCAGGATCAAGGTCACGAGAAGAAGGAACGTATGGGATCAAGGGTTGCAAATGTATGAGCAGGGGATAGTTTGAACAGGAGAGGCCAGCGTGAGCGCTTGATCTGAGCAGGAGCAAGTGCGAGGAAGTCGAGAGTTGGGGTTGAAAGATCATTTATCAAAGAAGAGGGAAGAGGAGACATTGAAAAGATGCCAGGGAGATCTTTCCTCAGCGAGATAGCCCTTCCTCCTTGCTTTCCCTCCTCAGATGCCAAGGAGAGATGCTGAGGAGGAAAAGCAAACTCATTGACCTCTTCCTCACAGGCAGAATGCTCACAGTGAATCTGTCTGAAGATCAACGCGAGGTACTCAGTCCATCATCCTCTACTACCGAATCACATGTTTCCCCTCAGGCCTTCGAATCGTTGCAGTCAACGTACAATGGTCACAGAAACAAGCATCGCTCTGTGCTCGCTCAGCTCGGACTAGTGGAGCGCGAGAGGAAGAGGAATACTCTGACTCTCAATGAGCTGGAGGCGCTTCCAACCAACACCAACACCTACAAGGCCATCGGCAAGATGTTTCTCATGGTGCGCATATGCTGGTGCTGGTGGTGCTTGTGCTGGCTGCTGCTGCTGCTTCTGCTGCTGCTTCTGCACTCCCCATGACTTTCGTCTCTCGTCTCTTGCAGGAGCCCTGTGACAAACTCAAGGCCGAGTTGGTGTCAGCAAACCAGGAGGGGGAGCAGAGCGCTAAGAAGTTGAGCGAGCAGAAGGCAGCGCTTGAGAACGCTCTGAGTGACTCAGAGCAGAAGATCAAAGACTTTCTTGACACTCATGGAACGAAGGAGGGAGGAGAGAAGCAAGAGTGAAGAATGTAGGAGGGAGAAGCAGAGATGGAAGCAAGTCATAGTGGGAAATGAGAAGGGCGTGAAGGTTTCGGTTGTTTATCTTGATCAACAACTTCAACTTGCTGCTCGGGTCTTTCCTTCTCTTACCATTACATGCTGCCTGTCTTTCCTCTTCCCCTTCCCCGAGTTATCTATCGACCTCAACCCTCCTCCACCGCACGCTACCTCCCTCGTGCGACTCCCCCCCCCCCCCCCCCTCCCCCGAGAAACAATCCTAGCTTACCCCTCCTCTTGCTCCTCTGCTAATGTTGCAACCCCCTCGCACCGCTCCTCGTCTGAACTCCTTCACTTCGCTACGTCTGCGTCTGCACCCTTGCTCTCGCGCTGAATCCCAGCTTCCGCCCTCGCGGTTGTCCCGGCAGGTTCATGTTTGCCGCAGTCGCTCTGTGCTGGGGGTTAGCTCGAAGCAGCACCAGGCGAGCAGCTCACCGAGCTTCGAGCGCTGCCGACGCCATGGCAGCGGCGGCGCCTGACGGAATGCCACCGATGCCCACGACCTTGGAGCCGGGACGATCCCCCGAGCGAGGCCGACCGACCCCTCGCGCCCTGTCTTAGGCGTCAGCAGCTGAAGGCGCTCCCAGCTCAGGCTCACTTTTCCGCAAACTTGCTGTGAGGACTCGCTCGTCTCTCGGCTGCTAAGGCCCAGTTTTCCACGTCCCGTTGCTGCGAGGAGGAAGTGACGAGGAGGGCAGTGAGGAAGTGACGCTACCTGATCCCCGTCGCTTGTGCTCCCGGTGCTGCTGCTCCCGATCCGTGGGCGGCCGCTGATCTTGCCTGCGGCGAGATCAACAAAAAGCTGACGAAGAGGAGGAGGGGAGGGAGGAGCACCAGCCGGAAGGAAGAAATCTCCGGTGGAGTTGTGGAAGGGATGCCAGTCGATCTCTGAGCGGGCCGAGTCCACGTTCTTGCTGCCCAGCCCGATACAGACGAAGGAGGCAGTGCCGGCAGAGCCGCCTTGATGCTGAGCAGCCGGGAGGTGGGACTGAACTCCTCCTCCCAGTTGATCGAAAGTCACTGAAGACAACTTGATTGGGACCTTCCCAGCGCTCTGGTTGGCAACTGCCTGAGCTACGGCCTGGCTGGGGTAGTTGGAGTTGTTTCGGGCGTCGATGGTGAACAAGATGTCCACTCGCTCTCTCTCCTCCACTGTGACCTCCTTGTTGTCAAGCAGCTTCAGCGTAGGAAGCTTCTGAATCGCCGTCGCTCTGTACAGCTGCTTCCGCGCGACTGGATTGTTTGCCTGAGAGCCAACGAGGTCAGGAGGTATGGCAGGGCGGAGAAAAGGAGGACAAGGTCCATGCAAAAGACGGAGGGGGGAGGGAGTAGGGAACAGTTGGAGGACGAGCGAGGAGGAGGAAGAGGAGGGAGCAAAGAAGGTTGAGCAGAATGACGCGGAGGGAAAGAAGGGATGGGAAGACTGACCAGCGTCAGGTCAACAACAGCTGGGAGAGGTGACAGTTTGTCAATGTCGGACATCTCTGAGATCCTGTTGGAGCCGACGTGGAGGACTTGTAACTTAGGAAGGGGAAGGAAATTGGAGAGAGACTTGAGGCCGTTCTCCTCGATGTACAGCTCCCTCAGGTTCTTCAGGGGAGAGAAAGCACCGTACTCCACATGGCGGATCTTGTTCTTGTCCAGCACCAGCTCACGAACTTGCGTGAGGTTCTCGAGGCCGTCGATACGAGAGATGTCGTTGCCTTGCACGAAGAGGACTTTGAGGTTGGAGAGAGGAAGGAGGCGGAGCGAAGCGAGAGAGTGGATCTCGTTGAAGCCGAGCTGCAGGACTTCGAGGGAGGAGAAGGCGATGACGGGTACCACCGGAGCGTCCGAGCCGTTGCGCTGCTTCTCAGGGAGCAGGTTCTCGATCCGGTTGTGGTTGAGGCGGAGGACAGAGAGGGAGCTGAGGTCGGCGATGCCGGTGAGGTCGGTGATGAGGTTGTTGTCCAGGTTGAGGATCCGGAGGTTGGGGAAAAAGGCGCCGGTGATGCAGTCGGCTGTGTCGCGGATCTTGCAGGAGGCGAGGTCGAGCTCGCTGACATGGCCGAAGCTGCTATGCCCCAACCTGTCCACCAGGAACTCCTCCGACAGCCTCCCACTGTACGTCTCGTTCGCACTCGACTGCTCGCCGCTCTCCACCCCGAGGCCGTCCAGGACTTTGAGCTTCTTGAGGTGGAAGATGGTGTAGAGCCGATAGTCTCCGCGCGTCGCCACAGGGTTGCCAGAGAGATCGAAGATGATAAGCTTGGGGAGAGGGCGGAGCTGCAGGATCTGCTTCGTCTCTTCCACCTTGTTGTTCCCCACGTACAACTCCAGTAGGGTCGTCAAAGTGTTGAGGCCACTCAGAGTTTCGATCTCGTTGTCTTCCAGCGACAGCTGAACGATGTTGGTCAGGCCTTCCAAGCCCTCGATCCTCGCTATCTTGTTCTTCCCCAGGTCCAGCTTCTTCAGGTTCACCAGAGTTGACAGGAATTCTATCTTAGAGATCCGGTTCTCCTCCATCAGCAGCTCCTCCAGGAGAGTACATCTCTCGAGTCCCTGGAGCGAGAGGATCTCATTGTCACATACCGACAGCACCCTGAGGTTCACGAGCTTCTCGAGGTTCGAGAGTTTCCTCAGGTGCCGATGGTTCAGCTCCAGATCCACCACTCGCTCACACCACGAGTCGTCGTCAGGCCCGTGCGACACGAGCTCCTTGTCAGACAAGGTTCGCACCCGATGGCTCTGCGGGAGAAGGCTCCAGGTCGACCTCCGCTGGACGAAAGCGCACTCCTTGATCATGTTCAGCTTGATGGACGATGTGTTGGTCAGCGCCTCCTGCCGCTCAGACTCGGACACTTTCCTCCCATCGAGCATCTCGAGCTTCAGCAGGCGGCGGAGCACGTAGAACCGATAGCTCTTGAGCTCGCAGACAGCGTTGTTGGAGAGGTTGAGGACGATCAGATTGGGCGTGTACTTGCGCAGGGCAGAGAGATCCTCCGCCCGGTAGAGGAGGTTGTTGTTGACCTCCAAGGATGTGAGAGTAGAAAGCGTCTTCAAGTTGTCCAGCCTGCGGATCAGGTTGAAACTGAGATCGAGCGTCTTGAGGGACACGAAGGTTTCCAGTCCTTCGATTTTGGAGATCTCGTTGAAGCTCAAGATCAGCGTCTCGAGGTTGACCAGCCCCGTCAGGTTCTCGAGCTTCTTGATCGAGTTGCTGTGCAGGTTGAGGTATTTGACGTTTGAGAGGTCGGCGCCGCAACGGACCATGATGGTGTCAAGTGATATCATGGTGATGCTGGACCTGTCGGGGATGATGGGCGGAGAGTTGAGGATCTTTGTACACTCGTCTTCCTCTGGACGGTTCGACTGGATCTTCAAGTTGCACTGGTACAAGAACTTGATGAGAGACCTCGCGAGGGGGCCCATGTCGCTTGCCTCAGTCTCGTTCTGAGGATGGAGGACTCCCTTCTCGACCAGCTCCGTCATGAAGGACAAGGGCGGGTCCGGGATGCTCTTGTGCTTCATGACGTACTCGAACTCCACGAGGTATTCCGGCAGGACGAGGTAGTGGTCGAACACGAACCACGTTCGCTGCTTCGTGTCAGCTGGTTTCACCCTGTACACGGAGTCATGCTTGGGGTAGCTGTTGCGGTTCAGAGGCAGCGGCTTCTGGGCGTCCAAGTCGTCCTCCGGCTCGTCCTGCCCTGTCTCTGCGTTGGTCTTGCTCGAGCTCTTCTCAGCTGTGCAGCGAGCAAGAAACACTTTGGTGATCAACAGTTGCCCGTTGCCGAGCTCGATTCCGAATCTCATTTTCGGGGTGCCGTCGGGGTTGCATGCTATGCCCTGCTTCTTCAGAGCGTCTTGTATGCGCGGGATGTCGGCAATGGACAGACTGTTGGACAGCGACACAGCTGCCTCCATGCCGATCTCCCCGTAGAAGTCTGCAGCGCGGAATCCTTCTTCTGCCACTCGCAAGATCTCTCCAGGCAATCTAGGAAGCGAGAAGCAAAAGTCACAAACAGTCACTTTCTCCGCATGGCAGGTTCACCTGGGGTCCTGTCCATAGAAGAGATACTCCAGACTCCGTTTGTACGAACCGTCTGAGGTGTCAACAAGCTGCTCTAGCCGCTCCTCGAACCGGTTGCGTAGGAACCGGTTGTGAATTCTTGTCACACGTACGACCCTGAGGTCACTGACACCGTAGGATTGAAAATCTTGTTGGAAGAACCGAGAGTTGACCAGATCCACGCAACTTGAGTACCAGACGTCTGATGGCTTACCATCTTCAAGCCGAATGTTTCCACCCGTTTCAAGCTCAACGATCAAGCGGCTCGTGTTGTAATCAGATATCGCACAGACCTGCAGTAGAGATGAGAACAATTGAGAATCAGAGGGAAGACGATCATCTCCTTTGTCACCTGTGTCTTCATGTTAAGCATCATGTCTTCAGCTTCTTGGATCTCGTTTTGCTTGTTCTCAATCGCCTGGTATGAATCTTTCAGGGAAGAAACAGAAAATGTAGGGATTCACCTCTTTCAACAGCTTCAGCTTAGCTTTGTAAGAAGCTGCCTGGTTGGCATCCATCGTTGCTTTCCCATATTGGCACTCCTGAGTTTCACGCTCGATATCCTAGCAAATGCTCAGACTTCAAGTGTGTTCGATTCCAAATGACAAACCTTTTGTTGACGAATCAGCAGCATCAAGGTCTTGCTCAATTCTTCTTTCAAGTTCAAACAGGCATCTCGTCCTTTTCTCAAGATATTGGTGGTATTTCGTTTGAGTGTTTTGATCCTCATGTTGTAATACATCTTCTTCTTCATGTATGTTGCTTCTGCAAGCTGCTTTCCCTCTTCAGGAATCGGTAGAGTGTCCATGTGAGACAGCTGCTGCAGATGAAAGAACACATAGGTTTGATAGTTACAGAGATCGCAAACAGGGTTGTCGCCCCAATCAGGATCGTTGAAAGCTAGTTTTCTGAGAGATGTCGACCTCGTAATGTTCAGAAGGTCCTTGAAGCTCCACAGCTCATTTCCAGCAAGATTCAGCTCTGACAGATTTGTACAGCTATCTAATGACGATCCGATCTCATGGATTTTGTTTCGCGCCAGAGAGAGCTGTTTCAGGTTGCAAAGAGAGTCCAGGTTTTCTATTTCGCTGATCTCGTTGTCCTGCAGCCACAGAGTCTGAATCAGAGTGAGGTGTTGCAAGTTCTCCAATTTCCTGATCTTATTCGAGTATAAGAAAAGGCGCTCCAGCTTTATGTTGTTGTCTAGGCCCTTTATCTTTGAGATGTTCGTTTCACATATCCACAGGCTTTCAAGGTGACGCAGCGCGTCCAAACACTCAATCTCATAGATGGCTTGTTGGCAGATGAATAGGCTTGTCAACCCAGTGAAGATATCAAGGGATTGGATCTTAGAGAAGTTGAACAAGAACATCTCGATTTGCTTGACAGATTCTGGTTCCTCCTGCGCAACCTTGTCGGAGATACCATTTGCTTCAAGGATTCCCTTGAGGGCTTCTGCAGCCCCTTTAATCTTCCCAGACACTGGCGCCATCAGATATGCATGCGATTCAAAGCATTATCGATTGCAAATTATGCTCCATGCGCACATGACGGAAGTTGACGAGGGAAGTCTGAATTCATGTCATTTCGACAGGAAATCGAATAATGAGTCATCGGATCAAACGATAGAAACTAACTTAGAAGAGATATATTCAGCATTCATCAACTAGAGCTATAACCATAAGCCAACGAGCAGTAACGAGATGGGCATGAAACATTGATTTGAAATAGATAAGTTTCTTGTACGCGATCAACATGATTTTGCAAGCGGAAGGAGAGATAACGAATGCATTCTTTACAGCCACTTATGATATTACTGCCGATGAGATCATGGCCATGATTATGTTGTTGTTGTGTTGATGATGATTATGATAATGACGAAAGTGAGTTATTAGTGATTGAATTATTCAATAAGTAATCAAAGCGTTCGAGATGTTTGATGACGATAGAGATGGTCACGTTGAAGGTGATAATGATCGTAGATGATATTGATAATTATGCAAAGAATAGTAGTCCAGTTGATAACCACTATAACGCTGGCATCATCGGAAAGGAAGCATACAGACGTAAAGTGACAATCAAACATGATGATATCAGTGATGATGAAGACTTTCTACATGGGGAGTGTGAAAACCAATAGGTATAGTCGATTACACATTTCTGGTGAGTCCAATGATTTCTTTCCTCTGCTCGGGGAATAACTTCTCCTCCTCCTCCTACCTGCCGCTTTTTCCCTGCCGTCGGCCATCGTCCGTTCCCCTGCAGTGGATGGCCCGCCTCCTTAATATCTCACATATCCGCCCACCTACCCTCTCTATTCCTGCAACTCCACCCCACCCTTCTCATCTAAAACCACCTGAAGTTAAGACCTCTACCCCTCCCTTCGAGTCAAAATACCCCCTTATGACACAGGGCCCTCCCCTTCAAATTCATACCCCACCCATCTTTTTTTCATTCACCCCTACCTGCTCCTATTCAATAGTACCTACCACTACCCTCACCCTTCCCTTCATCTCTTATCGAGGGTGGTGAAAGTTGGGGAGGTCGTCGAATGGCTAATCTGAGTCCGCCTCAGTAGTACATTTCAAATCCGAGTCAGTCGAGTGGTCCGATCACCGGGTGCCACTCCGAGTCACTCGGCTGAGCCTCCGGACTCGTGGCCCCGGCGAACCCGGCAGTTGCACCGGCCCGGGCTGCAGTGCGGGGGGCGGCCGTGACCCTTTGCTCAATAAGCTTCCGAGGAAACTTGATGGGGCCGGGCCCGCCGGGCGGTCAGCGTGGCCGCGCCCGCGGCACCCCCGGGCGCAGCCTGTCGGAGCCAGCGGCCCCGGCGGCCCCTCGGACCGGCGCCGGGACCGTCTCCCGGAGCCTCGGAGGCTCCCGGAGTCCGACTGCCGTGCCGCCAGCCTGCCTGTCAGGGACTCGGCCGCCCGGCCCGCCGGCCGGGCGTCTGACCCACCGGCGGCCCGGGGGGGACCTGCGCGCAGTGAGTTCTCTCATTCTCATACATAGCAGTAAGTAGTATCGTCCGTGACGTGCCGCTGCAGTGCGGCGGGGCCCGGCGGCCTGGCCGCGGCGGCCATCATGATCCGGCCCAGCCGGGCGGACTGAGTGACTAAGTTCAAGCCTCGGTTGTGCCGTGGCCGTGCGGGGGCCACCAGTTGAACGCGTTCAGTAATGATGTCGACAATCATGCGGCTGTGACTTAGCTTGGTGCCAATCTGGACATTGTAGGCATTCTGCTGCTCAAATGAATGCGATTGAGTGTTACAGAGGCTTCGAGGAAAAGTTACGTTGACAAAAAGTCTGATTAAGAGAAGTAAAGTATGAAATTGGCTCCAAGACTTTCAAGATCATGTTTCTAAATCGTTCAAATTGAATTTTCAATACTGCAATCAACATTCAATATCCGCTGTAACATCCTCCCTGGTCGAAAATATTTCTGTACAAGGTCCCCTCATGCGCTTTTCTTATTCCAGCAGGCATATTTCTCATCGACACTGCCGCTGAAGCATTTCAACGCACCAGAGTAAGAGGAAGAGTCAACTGGGCTCATCCATGTGCCTTTGAGCAATCGCATCGCATCATGGCGTTCCCCGGTAGAAACTCCATCTACCATCGATGTTAGTAAACCATCAAACGAGTGCTGGTGGACGATGCTTGGCACACTAATTTGCCGCACAAAATCCTCCGAACCCATCTTCTACCTCTCATTTGTTCCCAAAACCGCATCACAAAACTCACCTACGACGCCCGCCTCTGACGACCAGTAAATGGACGATGGAAGCATCGTCATCCTGAGGCCTTCGAACATCCTGGTCGAGCAAGCCTGCTCTTTTTCTCTTGTTCACAGCAGGATTAGTACCTCGCGCTAGCTGTTGCAGGGTGACGATGAGTCACGTCTGGACTGCTTCTTTCCTCCTTGCTCCCGCTCTCACTTGTCTTCAGTTACACCCACGCCATGTCCTCCCCTCAGCGCAAATAGCAACCAAAACTGCAGTTCTTGAGCCCGCCTCACGAATTTATCACCTACCCCACTAGTTCCGGTTGCACTTGCTGCAAACCATGGGTGCATGATATTCTTTCTATGAAATCCAGTTCCCCTCAGGATGCGTATTAGCAAATAAATAAAGGCATCAAATACTTCACATGAATATTGACTACCCCTCGTAGAAGGTACAATCAGCGGTTGGGGTGGGGGTATCATGAAGAGGTACAGAAAGTGGCTCTTCGACATGGGATGTCTCTTCGGGTGCCTAGGGCTAATACCACCCCTCCTTCCTAGAGGAAGTACCCCCCACCCACCCCCCAATTTAAAGCTCTGCGTCCTAACCTTTCACACATCCTGCAGGTATGGCATGCGATGCTCACGTGGACGGTGTTTGATGGAAGGCGCCCGTTCGCCTTGCCTCTTCTTCGATGAGCTTCTGATAACATCACTCTTCCAACCGAACTGATTGTTGTTACACTCGTCCTGAAGCTTTGTTTTTTTCTGTTTGTTGATGGTTGTCTGCGGTTTGTACTGTAGATTTTCATCCGAGACACGTGTTATGCAAGAATGATTCATCCTCGTCTCTACTGTCTCAAAGAGACGTATCCGATCTAATTTTGCAGCTCCTTATTGTGTTCTGTATTGTGACTTCAGATGCTTGTGCCACCTTCCTATTGCTGCCCCTATGATTGATGACTCATCATGGATTTTTTCCTCCATTGCAAGCCCTCACTTCAATTGTCTCTAATTTATGTTACAGAATGCGCACCATCCTCTACGGAAAGAAGGCCGCCAACCTTTACACCCAGGCTTTTGTCCAGAACACCCAGGCCCGTGCTCTCTACCAGGAGTCCGAGGACACCTACTACCGTGCCAACGATGCCGCCTCCTACGATGACTGGCGCCGCGCCCGCCACCAGTGGGACTACTTCTACAACCGCCATTAAACAGGAGGTTGTTTAGTAGGCTTTTTCTCTGTAGAAGGTTGTTGCAAGAATGGACAGGATCGTGAGTTTCAATATATGAGCAAAAATTGATGTCAAGAAAATGTTATCCTGTTTGGGGTTCTGTAGTTCGCATCTATTTTTCCGAAGCTATCATCGCTGTCAGTGGACCAAAGACAATCTGTTTCGCTCACGTGTTCATTCTCTTGAGCTTGACTTTCACCTTGCGGAAGCTCCTCCCCTGATAGTTCAGTTAGACATAGTGAGGCTTGCAAGCACGCACCGAATGTTCATTTAAGCGTCGTGAGCCCATGTCCGCCGCCAGCATGTTGGGTCCAGACGTAACGGGCTGTCTGTCTGTTAGCAGTGCAGAGAACTACCTTCCATGTACCTGATGCTTGCGATGAACGAAAGTATTCGAGGGCGAGGGTTGATATGGCTCTCTGCCGCGGTATAGAGGTGCCCCCGGTCTGCTTGCTGCAGGCGAATTTCCTATGACAAGTTAGCCCATCACAAGTGATACCTGACGCTTGAAAGCTTACCTGACCCTCTCCATGGCGAGTGCTGTGCTTCAGAACCCCGTTCCCCAGTACCATTCTCCTGTCCAATCTATCAGATATACCAAGATGTCAAACTTCAAGTCTTCTTGCAGGGAACCTGGACTAGATTCTTCTTTTCTGTTTGACTGGCTGTGTCCTGGCTGTGAAAATTTTCAGCGGCATGAAAAATGAGACAACGAGACATACTTTGCAGGGGCGAGGGGTTGCACGAGGTCATCTTGTGTCGTTGCCGGATTCTTCTTGCTGCTAGATTTGTTTTGCTTTGGTGCTTTTGCTGCGATCTTGATGCTGCGCGATCCAGCCATGCCTTTCATACCACCCTCCTTTCCTGGCATTTCCAGATTATCAGCATTCTTTTCCCCAGCGGTTGTAACTTGAGGGCATGCAGCATCCTCATCAATACGATGAGGATTTTCCTTGACTACCAATTTCTCCTTTTTTTCCTCCTTGATTTTCTTTTCTTCCTTTTCCTTGTTGGCTTTCTTTTTGCCAGAAGCTGCAACTTCAAGATTTGCAGCCTCGTTTTTGATCGAGGGCTTTCCTGAGTCATTCATTTTTTCCTCTTTGTCTTTCTGCTTCTTCTGCTTTTTCTCCGCTTTAACAGAAGGAGTTTCGCCGAGACCACTCTTTGTCGTGATCTTGTGATCCGATGTTTTGGAATGCTTCTTCTTAGTGGGTCGCCCCTCCGAAGAAATCGTTTGAGGTTTCTCATTTTCAGGGATTGCTTCATGGTCTATGACATCATTGTTTCCTGCATTGCGACGTTTTTTAACTGATTTTTTCTCAATGCGGGAACCTAAGAATGATGGATCTTGGGGGTCTTGCTCAGATGCATTCTTTTTCTTCCCTCCACGCAGTCTGTTGAGCAAGAATACATCATTGTTGACATAATTTCTTCTTGTAATCATCTCATCCTTAGCTATCTGATTCAGAAAGGGGCTGAGGGGACGATTGGTACCTAAGGCCAATGCTGGGACGCATCTCGAAACGGATCTGCGTGACTCCCTTGAATGCACGCATCCATCGATAACAAGAGACAAGAGGAGGATCGTGATAGATTTCTTGAGGAGACTTGCTTGGTGGGACGCCATGGTCCTCCGTCTCCTTCTCCTCCTGTTCCTCAACCCTCCTCGTGCTGTGCGGAACCCATCATGGCGTGTTACCGGTCGGAACCTAGCGGGTTTCGTTAATTTAATTCCATTTAGCTCTCTTTATTTCGAACAAGTACATGAGCTGAATTATTATTTGAACTCGAAAATCGAGCTGCGATTGATTTTTTAAAAAAAGGATGAGCTCTTTGAGTTTGTCTTCCCGCGCAAATGGCCCGCTCTCTGTTCAGAGTTGTTCTAGTGCGAGGGAGGTTGAGGGGAAGGGAGGTGGTGGAGGAGGGAGACAGGAAGAGGCAGAGTAGCAACTCGGGAGAGGTAGGACAGGTGTGGAGGTATGGTGAGGGAGGGAGAGGTACAACAGTCAGCACGAGCGAAGCGGATGCGAATACAGAGAGGGAAGAGAATCCTCTGATAGGAGTGGGATGTACACAAGAGAAACGAAAAGGTGATACTGCAATTGGATCAAAACAAAGATGTTGGCTCTTGGGCTAATGCGAGAAACAGGCGAAGAACAATATTTGTTGTAATAGAACCCTAAATCCTGTGAACAAAGATGCCCGACGTCGCAGAGTATATTTGGAGGGACTTACTCTTGCGCTTCAGGTGAAACAGGTTTACAAAAGAAATCAAATTGGTATTAGTCTGGTTGTTCTCCCTTGGTAAACTCGGCACTATGGCTGCACCTTCAGAAACGAAGGAGTTGTATGGAATCAAACAAAATGGAGAGATGTGCTTTTCTGCAAAAGAATTAGAATTCCTTGCCGAAGATGAAATGATAGAAATTATTCCACGTTTTTCGTTTCAAGAAATAGGACTCTTGTCTGGAAGCATTGGACCTTTTCAGGTGATTCGATGGTTGACTTGCCAACTTCCTTGGCTCTCCTGATTGTCCTGTGTGTTGTCAGCCGATGGTTCCTGTCCAAGTACCCTTGTGGCTGGCATTGAAGTTGCATGAAAGACAGGTCAGAACACCTCAACTGGAGCTGTGACAAAGTTGAGCAGTTGTTTTCTAGATGTGCAAAGTACAGCTGCCGGCTTGGCTTCATCATGATGAATTAGTAGAGAGGAAACGGGAAGAAGAAGCCGAGAAAGAGAACAAGTACCTTACGCCCATTGAGTTCCACTATCAGGAGATTGCGACAATTTTGTTTCGTAGAGCTCCCGATAGCTTCGCGGGACAGGAAGGTGAACGAAGATTGCTTATTGATTTTCACTTGACATGATATTGGGACAGGAAATTCCCGCATTCAAGTGAAAGACATCGAAGAGCTCAGAGACTCAAAGATTCACACATCTTTGCGGGATCTTGAACAATATACCCCTGCGGTAAAGATTGCCAACGTCAGCGCCATGGAAATCAATAAGTGAGGAAACAAAAAAAATTGACTTCCACCATTGTAACTGCATGCATTTGGGTGTAGGATCAGACCTTTCCTCGTGCAAGCTTTGAACAGGTTTCGAACTCTCAAAGAAGCTGAAGACCAATTTGGAGAAAGCTCTCAAACGGTTATCGATTCACAGGACGGAGGCTTGTAAGTCAAGTGGCTACTCTGCATTTCAGGACGATTTTCGATGCTTCGGTCTTGTGTATCATGTTTTATTTAATTTGAAGATTCCCTTCTACCCACTCTATCAATCTAGTTTTTCTTGTTCTCGAAGAAGAAAAGAAGTACAATTTTGCAGAGCATGGTAGGTTCTGTGAAGCGAGCAGCTGTAGGGCATCGATGACTAGGCAGGTTCGAAGCTCCAGCGGCAGCTCCGTAACTTGGTCGAGAACAGGAGGATTGGTGACAATTCCAAAGCGAATGATGAACCATGCAGCCACCGTGTCCTTGCTGTCATTCACCAGCCCCACTTGCTCTTTCATGGCATGACATGCGGCGGCGTCAGAATCGAACAAGCAAGCGTACGAGAGATTTTCAGGGACCGGACGGAAAATCTCCTTTTGACCCCTCGGGCCCACCAGCAGTCCAGCCATGCACTGCGTGAGTGAACCATTCACATTCCAAGAGAGAGGATGACCCATGTTGTCTAGCATGGATTGAAGTAACCCTTGCATGACGCTCGCTTGTACGGTGATGGTCTGGGAGGCTTGACTTGCTCGCTGCGGTTCTCTGTATCCAGAATTTGATGCCAGGAGTTTGTAGAGAGCGATCGATCTCGACAAGTTGAGTTCGTCGTCATCTGAAATCGAAAGTCCTCCCTCAGTACAAAAATCTTCATCCGGGCTGAGGAGGTAATCATCTCGAATGTCAACATCTCCAGTTTGTTCTTCCACATTGCCCGGATCCTGATGCTGTTCCTGAGTCTGCTCCTGTGCCTGTGCCTGCTTCGTTTCTCTTCTCTTCATATCTTCAGCATCCGAAGGAATTGAAGTCCTCTCCTCCTTGTTTGATTTCAACGTTCCTTCTTCAAATCCAACCTGTTGTTGACATTCTTGTTCGCAACTCTGTTTGTTCAACTCATTGCTTGACAACTCATTGCTTGACAACTCTGATGTCTTCGTTGACTCCCTCTGAGCTGCTTTCCTGCAACGAGGTGTTCAGCACACACGGGAATAACAGAGCAGAAACCGGCAAGAGATTCTCAAAATTACCTTGAAGAGGTCAAGCTCGGGTAAACATGCTCCGATCGTTCAACACCAACATTTCCAATCCCCGTCACGCAGGGATCTCCATTGATTCCATCTCTTCGTCTCGCTGTGCTGCTGGTCGAGACGTCTTTCGCTCTCTCGCTGAAGTCAGGATGGTCCCGCTTGCACGGATGTTTCGGGTCACCAGAGCGAACTAGAAATGTCATGATGCCTGTCTCATGAAACGCTCTCAAGCATTCGTCCGTGCTCGTGCCCTCCATGAATATCGGCCATGATTCAACATTCCTCCTCCTAGCATCTTCCCACCTTCTTCTCCCGACCATCTCTTCCTCCCGCCACATCTCTTCTTCTCTGTTGGCAAAATCTTCTCCTTCTCTCCTCCTCCTCTCGAAGTGCTGCCTCCACCATACCCCCCTCCATCCCTGCAGCCTCCCTGCCATTGCGAAGAGGGATCAGGTCCGCCTCAGACAAACAGAAAGTGTCGGGAAACTTGCTATGGTGCGGGGGACTGCTCTGCTGATAGCCACAGCGATGTCGCTGCTGCTGGCGCTAGAGGGGAGGGAGGAGGGAGGGAGGGAGCGAGCGATGAGATCGGAAGAGAAATGTCCCCAGCAGGCGTTGAAACGAGTCGGATGGGCGGGAGGGAGGCCGAGTGACGAGCATCTTGCGAAAGCAGCCCTGCAGCTCAGCGACGCCGGGCAACGAGATCGAGCGATGGGATGCATCAAGGTCGCTCTCAACGACCACCCGAGGTCGCAGTGGGGACATGCTGCGCTCGGACTAATGCTCGAGGGAAAGGAGGCAGATGCCTCGCTTGCCGAGGCAAGAAAGTTCGGAAGATCCCTTGTGAAGAGCAGGACGTGGGAGGTTTTAGGTCCCTTTCCTGCAGGGAAGATGGAGCTAGATGGCGACCCCGTCACGTCTCCTATCTATGGAGGAGTTGAGAATGCCAGGAAGTCGGATCGCAAGCGATTCGCGTCAGAGTACGCGGAAGGCGGATTCGTCAGGTGGCAGACCAGGACAGTTGAGCCAGAGGCAGGGATGATGGAGCTATCCTTCCCAGAGGTCAACTGGAACAAACTTGTCCAGCTCACCAACTCTGTGAGTCTTTCATCCTCGTTGCTCTTACCCTTCACCTCGTGGTGTTTCCTATTCTCCTCTTCCTCTCCCGACGTCCTCTCCAGCCTCGCTCTCTACCTGCTCATGTTCTGACTGCAGATGCCGATATTGGAGTGGCAAGCTTGGGTTGCCGTCGACTTTCTCCTCCTCGAGGACATCAAGGTTCGCATCTCGTGCATGGGTGTGCACTCCTTCTCTGTGGACAAGGTGGGCACCCCGTGGTATGCGGGCGACATCTACAGGAGTGGGACCTTGTGGACGGTGCTGGAGCTGAGGAGGGGGCGACACACTGTGTACATGAAGGTGAAGGCCAAGATCTCGACGCACGTGCAGGTTCAGATCCTGACGGTCGACGGGGACAAGAAGTTCGAGGTCTTCAGCCCTAAGTGGATGCCCGATGTGATCGACGGGAAATTCTTCGGCGTCGGCTATGGAGCGATTCAAATTCTCAACTTAGATTCCAAATCGTTCCTTTCAGACATTCAAATCTCAGTCGCAAAGTCGTCTTCCTCGCTGTTCAGCACTGGAAAACCGACTGTTGCGGTCGTTGAGGTACCATAACCTTCTCTTGACCGTCGTTGATCCTTGCGACAGCATACATCCTTGCCAGCGATCAAAAGCGTCGCGCCCAGTCAAACTCTTGCTCTCCAGTTCGCGATGGAAGTCGTGGACGGAGGACAAGGCGGGCAGCGGTGCCCCTCCTCGTTCCGCGTTGAGATCAGGGCAAGGGTGGAAAGCAAGGAGTTCACAGTGACATCGGAGACTATCAGCGTTCGATGCCGGGAGAAGGTGGAGGAAGGAAAAATGGTTGAGGGCGAGTGAGACTTGCAAGCAGGAGAATCAGAGTTTCATCATGTCGTTTGTGGATCACGATGGCTCCGTCCAACACGCTGCAGTGGTTCCTCCTCTCAAGAGCTGCGAGCTGTAAACGACTGCGAGCTGTCAGAGGTTTTTGTTCATTGCTCATGCAGAGGGAGAGCTGGGGGAAGAGCGGACGGGAAGTGCCCTGTCGTCTTGTCCATGCACGGCACAGGCGTGAAAGCCAACGACCAGGCGGATGCCTACAAGTTGGAGGTGTACTCTCCTGCTGGGTTCTAAGAGCTGTGGAGGAGCAGGACGGGTGAAGGGAGAGGAGGAGATCGAAGAGGGGAGGGGTAATAGAGGAAGGGGAGGGGTAGAGAAAGGGTAGTGGAGAGGGGGAAGGAGGTATGGTGTTGATGTGTTGGGGTACTAAGGAGACCAAGCTGGTACTGAGCAACTGAGACGAGCAGGTCAAGAAAGACGTCTGGGAGTTCGGTGTGCGAGGAGCATGGGTTCTCGCGCCCACGAGGCATGGGGCGCACAACTGGGAGAGCAGCGGCATGCTGTCCTCGCTCTCGGCGTTGGATGCCTTGGCGAAAATCACAGAGGTTGTAAGGAGGAGGAGGAGGAGGAGGAGGAGGAGGAGGAGGAGGAGGAGGAGGAGGAGGAGGAGGAGGCTGAATTCAAAACAGGCTGGATGGAATAAGTTTCTCCCAGCAGACCCATCTAGGTGAAAAATCAGCTGGAGGTTGTGGACCGCAAACTTGTTTGTAGGATCATCTTCGCGGGTCACTCGATGGGGGGTCATGGCGCATGGCATATCTCCACTCACTTCCCCGACAAGGCTCTTGCTGTCGTCACTGCCGCCGGATGGATGAGGAAGGAGGTGGGAGGGTAGGGAAAGAGAGGAGGAAGGAAGGGGAGGAAGAGGAGGAGGGGAAGAGAGGAGCACAGGAGGAAGAGAAGGGAAGAGAAGAGAAGTGGGGGAGAGGAGAAGGGTAGGAATGGGAGGAGGAGAGGGGAGGAGGGGCAGGTAAGGAAGGATGGGAAGGATGGGAAGGATGGGAAGGATTGGATACTAGATCAGGAGAGGCAAGAAAAGGGGAGTGTCTGAATATGTTTGACTTGTCAGTATTATGGGGATTCCAATGTACTCTTCGAACATGATATCTGCACATCATACGTCGATGCGCAGCTCAAGGTATTTCATTTCTCAATTCATCTCTTGATGAACAGCAGAGGTCAAGCAGCATGATTGTCGTCTTCTTTCATTTGTTCGTACTGCGTGAATTCTCACTTTCTTTCTTCTCTCCCACCATGTCTTGTTCCCCTGCAGGCGATCTTTGAATCCTCAGTCGTCGAATCCTACGTCGATCTGCTTGCTCCGAACCTTAAGGGCATCCCGATCCTCGCTAGGATTGGGCAGGAGGTGTAGAGGAGAGGCAAGGGGAGGAGGAGAACTCAAGTGCGGTCAGGACCGAGCAGTTCCTCCATGGCAGCAGAGGAGGATGATGAGAATCTTAGAAGAAGGAGGGGCGACTGTGGTGTGGGAGGAAATTCCTGGGAAGGAGCACTGGTGGAAGGAGGAGACGCGGGTCGGCGCTCCCTGATCCCTCCTGCAGGTGGTGGGACACGGAGAAGCAGAGCGATGGGGGATGCATCAACGACGACAACATGCGCGCGTTCTTTGCAGCAGTCCTGCACAACACATCCCTCCCTGTCGTTGACTACTCTATGAGCGGGACAAAGTCGAAGAGCAGGAAGAAGAAGCTCAAGGTGCCGAGCTCTGGATTCCTGGACGAGGAGAGCGAGTTTGTGGCTTCCCTTCCTCCTGCCCCTCATGTCTGTGAAGTTTCGCTCGTTCATGGTTTGACCCCATTACAGGAATTTGACTTGATCGTCATGAACCCGGCGAGTCAAGGTGACTCTCTTACCCTCCTCCTCTTTCTGATGCGTCAAGAGGTGCCCGCGGAGGCTTGAGGGTGTTGCAGGTGAGGATGGAAGTAGAACTGACTGAAGGAGGAGATGAGGAAGAGGAGGGGAGGTTTAGATGTATGCTGTGTTGCTGTTGTAGCAGAAGAAGCAGGGCAGGGCAGGGCAGGGCAGGGCAGGGCAGGGCAGAGCAGAGCAGAGCAGAGCAGAGCAGAGCAGAGCAGGAGCAGGAGCAGGAGCAGGAGCAGGAGCAGGAGCGAAGGGATAATATTGAAGTGTGTTGTACTTTCAGCTTCATCGTCCTTTCGCTCAAGGGAGAATATCTGTTAAACTTGCTAACGACACTTGGATCTTGAAGACAAGAAACATTCGTCGGTAAATCATTGATTAGAACGATGATGATCGTTTTTTGTTATTGTTATTATTGTTGTTACTGTAGTTGTTCATGCATATGTGTTGTTGTTTATGGTGCTGGTGGCATTGATGGTGATAGAAATGATGTTCAAGACATTGATAGGATGATGAAGGTATTTCTGACTCGTTGCAAACAGGTTTGCCTTCGAGAAAAGTGCTGCAACCCCTCACCGCCTTCACTTCTTTCAACGAGATGTTCTTGTCGACGGCATCTTATTCTCAGCTTCTGATCCGCATGAGTCAGTCGAGGCGCTAGTCAGCTCCTCCCAGCACCTCTGCTCCGACCCCTTGTCAAACAGCAAGTGGAGGAGGTGCCGGGAAGATGAGATGTTGTCAAAACCTGCTGCACAGCTGTTTCCAGCTGAGAAGGGGCCGGATACTTATGGACCAGCTCGACTTGTGGCGGAGTCTCCTTTCTTTTTTGTTGTTGGTGGGCAGAAGGAGGAATGCGAGGCGAGCAAGGGAGGTCAGGAGATGAAATGTTTGTTTGTTTGTTTGTTTGTTTGTTTGTTTGTTTGTTTGTTTGTTTGTTTGTTTGCTTGCTTGCTCTTTATGCTGCTGTAGTCCTTTGCACTCTCGAATAACGATTTTGTGTCGTTGCATCAATTTTTGTAGTTTCTTCTACCTCTATGGATCTCGTTCCAACAGAATCACCTCTGTTATTTCTGATTGTCATGATATGAGCTGGTCCTTATCATCTCGACGTTGATGACTCTGACAGCAGCTGACGGCAACTGTTCTCGTCAACCTTCGCTGTCACATCTCATGCTGAGCGGTGCCGTCTACCTCGCCAACCTTCATCACTCTGCTGCCGACGCGAACCCGCAGATCCTGCTAGACGAGCAAGTCACAGACAGCATGAGAGCAGGCGCAAACCTCATCCTCTTCGGCTCCCCCAAGGACAACAAGGTCGTCCGTCACTACCAGCAGCAGGTTTCTTCCTGCTCCCTCCCGTCCTCCTCCTTTCCTCTGCTCCTCTCCTCTTCCCTCGCCTCCTCATCCTCTTGTTTCCAGGGCCTCCTTCCTGTTCGCTTTGGTCCCATGGCAGCAGCAGCAAATCTTCCGGAGGTTCCTGACGGCGCCTTCGCCATCGGCAAGTGCATGTAAGCCGCATCAGCTCTTGCTCCTGCGCCTGCTCCTGCTCCTGCTCCTGCTCCTGCTCCTGCCTATGTTCCTGCTCCTCATATTCTTCTCCTCAGCTTTCAAGGCCCGTCGGTCGGGGTCATCTTCACGTTTCCTCTTCGCAAGGGCCTGTCTGTCGGCGATGCTCGGGCAGGAGCGCTAGGGCTCGTGATAGGTGAAGCACGTGCTGTCCTCCAGTGACTGATGGCGGGGCTGCAGTGGGAGCAGACGAGGATGGTCTGAGGGATGTGCTGTCCTTAGGGTGAGCTGAAGCCCTTCCTCCTTCCTCTCCTCCTTGCCTCCCTCTGCTCTCCTCTGATCATCTTTGAGCAGGCAGCCGACAATCCCCCCCATGGTTCGTCCCCCCTACGCCAACATGCAGCCAGACTTCGTTGTGACTGGCCCAGAGCTCACGTGGAAAGGAATAGGTCGTTTCCTTGCGCTTGCCCTACCCTCCTATAGCCTCCCTTGTACTCCTTGTGCTGCTCATCTGCCTTGAGGCCATATCCCTTCATTCGTCTTCTTCTGCTCGCGACGTTCATCCTCTCTTCACCTTCTCTCTCCCTCCCTCGCTCCCTCCCTCGCTCTCTGACTTGCTGCAGGTGGTGTCCTTGCAAGCGGCTACTGGGGAAACAGCTGGGAGTTTCTTCCCGAGAGCTCATACAGCATAGATCCTTGCGCGTGAGAGAGTGATAGCAAGCGACAAGACAACACTAGAGAGGAATGGAGACTCTTTCAGCTGCTGCTCCCGGTCTAATCTTTCACTCTTGAACCGATCTCGTACTCTCTCCCTCAAGCCCTTGCTCCCCATACCTCCCCATCCCCCGCATAATCAGCTCCTTCAGCGCAGCATCCCGGTACACCTTGTTTCCTGCTCCTGATGCAAGAGCATGTACAATCATCATGTCCTGCCCACGTGTCAGCTGAGCACGCGTTGTCGTCAGAGTGACCTGCATCGCCAGCGGGTCTTTCCTATGAGCAAGCGCATTCACAAGTATCTCGGCGACAGCCGCCACCTGCTTAATTCCTTCCTCCTGCTACGCCGTCAGTCACACTGCCATGCATCCTTCTGAACCACCTGCGAGTCTTTCCCCGCCGCGCCGTCGCCATCCTCCCGCACGCGCTTGGATGGGGAGCGGAAGGAATCGCGGAGTACCTGGCATGTCGTGAGGAGGGAGAGAGGGGGAAAGAGCATGATCGTCGCTTCACCTTCATCAGGTTTCGCTTCCCCGCCTCGTCCTGCACCGGTATGAACTTGATCAGCCGCATGACCGCCCTCACGGCGCTACGCATCTCCGACATTCCGCCTGCTCGGTTGACGATAGTGAGGGGTGGTTGGTAAAAGAGAAAAGGAGGGTAGGGGTGGTGAAAATAACAAGACAACTGGCAACAAACAAAGGGGAGAAGAGAGGGAAGGAGAAGTACAAGAAGAGAGGGGAGGAGAAGTACAAGAAGAGAGGGAAGGAGAAGTACAAGAAGAGAGGGAAGGAGAAATACAAGAAGAGAGGGAAGGAGAAGTACAAGAAGAGAGGGAAGGAGAAGTACAAGAAGAGAGGGAAGGAGAAGTACAAGAAGAGAGGGAAGGAGAAGTACAAGAAGAGAGGGAAGGAGAAGTACAAGAAGAGAGGGAAGAAGAAGTACAAGAAGAGAGGGAAGAAGAAGTACAAGAAGAGAGGGAAGGAGAAGTACAAGAAGAGAGGGAAGGAGAAGTACAAGAAGAGAGGGAAGGAGAAGTACAAGGAAATAAAGGTCGGCACGCAGACAAAAAAGAAGTCAAGAAGAGGGTGGAGCTGAACAAGAATCACAAACAACAAGACCGAAAGAACAAGATCAGGGACAGAGGAAGGTTTGAGGGACCCATCAGTTCTCCTCTACTTCCTTCCTCTACATCTCATGTCAGGAAAGGTTGTTGTCCTTGACTTCTTGACCAATGGAGCTGGTCTGGATCTAGCAGCTGCCGTCCTCCTTGTCGACGCCTTCATTCAGTCTGGCAGGACAACGTCCTCGAGCATATTCGCAACAACCGACCAGGAGCTCAAGGAGATAGTGAGCAAACCTGCTCAGCGCAAGAAGATTCTTGCTGCCATCAGGAAGGGTCCTCAGATCCTCAAGGCCAAGGAGGAGCCCAACAAAAAGCGAGCAGCTGCCTCTGAGCCCGATGCCAAGATAGCTCGTCCCTCCCTGCTGCCTGTACAGGCCCTTCATGGCGTCGTTCGCGTGAATCGCTCGCCCGTCATGATCCTGTGGGGAGCTGTAGTAGCCAACGTGGTGAACGAGCTGGAGTGGGAGGAGAGCTTGTCTCTCAGCAGCGTCGTAGCGAGCCTCAACGCTAAGGTGCTGCGTCAGTCTTGATCGAGAGCGCTCTGACCCTGAGGCAGGCCAAGGCTGCGAGGATATGGGGAGAAGGCAAGAGGGAGGAGGGCAAAAGCGTGGAGGAGGGACCAGTCCAAGAGGTCCGTCTGCTGGGAAGGAGCGTGACTGCTTGCTCGACGTTCATGGGGCTACGAGGCTGTCTGGACGGGCAGCCGGTGCATCCGAAATCACCAGCGGACAGGTTGAAGCAAGCCTTTCCTGGACAGCAGCTGGACATTGTGTTCAGTGCGATGGCGCTGTTGGCAGAGGACCGCAAGGAAGAGATCCTGAGCGACAGTCACCGCGCGTATAGCCTCTACGAGCAGTTCCGGCCCTCCATCGCCGACGGAGCAGCTGGCTGGGGAGCAGCCGGGGACTTGAACGTGAACCTCATTCTCCAGCTTCGCAAGGTCACAGCTGGAGAGGGAGGGGAGGTGGTGGTGAATGCCGGGGCGCTGGGGAAGGAGCATCTGCTGGACGAACTGCAGGCAGCGGCTGAAGGGGTCGAGATGGAGAAGCTGGAGGTGAGATACGGCAAGCAGGTCAACGAGTTAGTAGAGGAGCTGCAGCTAGAGGGGCTGGTGTACGAGAAGGAGGGGAGGATCTTTTGTTTGTAAAGAGGGATGGGAGTGAGGTTCTTAACTCACTGAAAGTGAAGTCTGATCGCCTGATCCTGTGCTCGCATACTTTCGCTCATCACATCTTCTATTACCGTACTGGGAAATGGGTCAGAAAAAGGGTCACGGGGATATGATACAAACCAAAAGGTCTACAGCTCTAAACCGAGCAAGATGTCCTTCAGCTTTGGCTTCTCATCCTTCTTCCTTCCGAGCTTGAAGGGCATCGGCCTGCCGTCTGTCTCAGTCGCCGACGTTCCATGGAGAAACTCACTTCTTGAAGTGCGGGTTCACAAAGTCGTCGAGGAAACCGAAAGAAGTATCCTCAGGGAACCCCCACACGCTGAGATGATGATTTTGTCTCGCCAGCTCTGCCAGCCCTACCCAGTCCGTCAGCAAGCAGCACAGCAGGTTCAAACCTCCTCCTACTCAAGAACTCGGGGAGTTTCATTCCCATTCTCTTGTTGAAGTGATAGGCGTCCTCTGCTTCAACGTGTTCCTTCTTAACAGGCACGAAATTTGACCTGCGACAACATATGTATCATGCTTCTTGCCGCCTGCTCATGACATCGACATGTAGTCGGGACCCAAGAGATTGGAGTTGTCGCTCTCCAGAGATTCTGCTGCTTCCTGAAGAAAGAGCGTCAAGATTGTCATTTTGTTTCAATTCCTTCAAACTTACATCCTTCGTGTAAGGAACATCTTCAAGTCTTGGTCTGCATCAACGTCACACGGCGGATCTTGCGAACCACCCTGGAACACCTTTGACCGGCATTGAGATCGGTAGACATGCCTTTTCTCCATCGATCCATTTGCCTTTGGAAGGTTTTGTCTGATCGGCGCCCCTGCAAAGAGTCCTTTTCCAAATGGAAGCAAACATTCTGACCGTCATCGGTGCGGTAGGTAAAATCGTATTCTGAGAGCAGAAGCAAAAACGCATCAGGGCTGGTAGCAACAGACACACAGGCTCACTTATCTGCGGCTCCTCTTCCTTCTCTTCGACTTCGGACTTGCTCAAGTCACTGATTTCATTGGAAATCTCGTCAGGTTCGAGAGCACGGCGATGAGGGCCCGGGATGTACTCCAGGCTCAAGCTATCCTCCTTTAACTCCTCGCTTGTGTCCTCAGCTATTTCATCCTTCAACTTCGGTTGCTTTGAAATCACTGACTGTATGATGCCTGCGATTCGCCGCTGTAAGGGAGTCATGCTAGTTGATTTCCAGTCCCCTCGCTCAATCGCCTGCATCACGACAGGGATTTCATTCTCAGCCAAAGGAGCTTGATCTTTCAGCTCCATCTGGAGTTTTTCAATGATGGACTTCATCAAATCAAACTTTGATCTGAAGTTTGCTTCCTTCAACTTCAACTTCTGTTTTGCCAACGCCTTCACCTTTCGTTTCTTCATCTTGTCTTCTTTCTTTTTTTGTTTTTTCTTGTGCCTCTTCTCCCTTCTCAACTCAGCCTTGGTCTTCTTGTCTTGGCGTGTTTTCTTTGGTTTCGAATCTTCGAACCGAATGTGCTTCCCCCTCGTCGGGGCCTCTGTCGTCTTTATGTTGTGCCTCGCGACATACTCGCCAGGTTTGAAACCCTTGGCCCGCAGTCCCTCCATTCGCTTCATTATTCGTTTTTCCGGTGTGTTGGTGAGTACGGGCTCCAGGAGCTGCCTCACATCGTCCATGTACGCATCATAGTCCATCAAGTCTTCGGGCTCGGCGATCACCGGCCTTTCGAGCTTTGGTTGTTGCTTCATCTGTGTAACCTGATGTTTCTTGCGAATAACTTTCTGCATCTTCTTGGCTCTGTCTGACTTCACTCGCTTCTCGTGGGGTCGCATCCTCTTCAAGGACGTCACCTTCTCCCCGCCACGCAGTCTGATACACATGCTGCGGTGACTCGCTGCAAGGTTCCAACAGGGAGAGACCGAGACAGCACACCAGGTCAGGAGGACGGTGAGCCTCCCAAGGTTTTTGAGGGAGCATGAGCCAACACTCAGCATGGCTGAGAGGAACGACGTCTGCTATCCCTGGTCGTCTGCTATCCCTGGTCCCGAACAAGAGGTTTCATCGATCAAATGTCCCTAGCAAACATATCTCTCAGTCTCATTGCCGCCTCCTCCCCCAACAACCTCACGCCCTAGTTTCCCCTTCACTTCATCGAGCTATTCTCTCTTCTCGCCAGCTCCCCCAACCACACCCCCCAATCGTTTGTTAACTCTCTCGCTCTCTCGCTCTCTCCCTTTCCCCCGCCCCTATCTCTTGCTCACTCTCTTGCCCTGCCCGTCCCTCCGTCCCTCCGTCCCTCCGTCCCTCCGTCCGTCCCTCCGTCCCTCCGTCCGTCCCTCCGTCCCTCCGTCCGTCCCTCCGTCCCTCCCTCCGTCCCTCCCTCCCTCCCTCCCTCCCTCCGTCACTCCGTCCCTCCCTCCTTGCCCTGTCTCTCCCTCCCTCCCTCCCTCCCTCCCTCCCTCCCTCCCTCCCTCCCTTCCCTTCCCTCCCTACTC